GAACAAAGGATTTGTCTGATTTGACACATTCTGAATGGTACCAAAACACCCTTTTGATTCCAGATTGAGAAAATTGAAGCTTTTAATTTCAAAATTGCTGTATTGAACAGATTTTATATTTCCAGCACTGTTTTTTTCCCCATATAAAAACATTGAATGCTCTCACCTATCTCACAGTTGCATTTTGCAGTTCCCTGAAAAACATATCACACATATTATAGTCTTTTTTTGGTCAGTGAATTGCCCTTCTATCTCATCATCACACTGCTTGCACTGCCTAAGCACATTGAACTAGTCCAATGTACAGCTCCTACTCATACAAAGTTTATATGCAAAGAATGTATTTCTAGCCTTTCTAGTGGCACTAAACTTCTAGCACATCAATCATAGCTTTCTGCTCCAAAGAACCTCTCTTCTTGTCTTTTCTTTCCAGATGTCCCATGCCGTGCCAGCAGGAACATCACTGAGCTATTTGTTAAAAGCCCATCCGTAGGAAAACGCATAGTTCTCTTACAAAGGTACTGCAGCATGAGAAGCATGTACTGCAATAATGCCTTTACTGCTTCTCTCTACAAATAGTATTTTTGTTTAAAGGGGAAGAAATAATGGGGATATCTCAGTCTTCCTTCCAAACTTGTTGCAAGAACATTTCATTTTGGCAGATGTTCCAGAGAAAAGCTGTCTCAGTACCTTGCTAAAATAAAGCCAGAGGATCAACAAGAAAAAAAAAACAACAAAACATGTAGCACATGCTTCTGGCCTCCAAAGACCATCTCAGGATAGTGATTGGAAAAGCAAAAGCCATCAATCACATAGGTTTGACTTTGCATGCAGACACCGGGCAGTTCACAGCTTTTTCCTGCTCTGTTGGGTGTGATGAGAATGGACTGCTGCGCTCCCCAAGAGTGCTTTGAGTGTCAGGGCACGGGGACGAGAGAAAGAAAGACTGGGAAAAGAAATACAAAGCTGAAGGAAGGCAGAGACCACAGCAGAGAGGGGTGAGAGAGCACAGCAGGTAAGGACACAGTGTAAGTGAGGAAAAGTGACAAAGGAGGAGCAAGAAGGTGGCAGAAAAGTTATGAAGATATATTTCCAGCTCTTCTGGCCAAGATGGGATGTAGCCAGCTAGTTCACTTGCTTTCTACGATCTCTGACAAACTCTCCTTTCACTCCAAGGACATCACTGTCCAGCACATGAAATGGCTTAAACAGCAAGCATCATGCTCCCAAAATATATCAACTGCCTACAGCACACACTGCCTGTCCACAGCAGATACAGAACAAAAGCCAAGTATAGCATGAGCCTCCACATGCTGCCTCCAGGCAAGGTTTTCAGCCCTTCTGTGGCGGTGAGAAAAGACTTAGTGTCTCCGCACTGGTCTAAAATCCTTTGCATTTGCAGGAGAAAGCATTTCCCACCTCAAAACCCACTACCCTCTGTAAGACAAATCCATAAATAAATACAAGAGGTAAATACAGAGGAGGAGCAAGGATGGTGTGATCGTGGAGCACAGGCACACACACTTCCAGTTCCTGCTGTTCTGGCCCAAGGATTAACTATCCCCAGCCCAGAGCCACCAGCTCTGTCCTGCTTTCCTGAGCTCAGCCAGCTGAACACTTTCATCCCTTCAGTCAGAGCAAAGAAGGATTTTTTTGCACACTTTCAGTACTAGGTGTTTGCTAAACCATGTGTGTGCAAGCTATTTGTTAGCATGTGAGCTGCCACCTACCTGCATCACCAATCCTCCCACCAGCTGTGGATGACTTTTGGTCCCCTCTGGTCAGGAGCAGGCTCGGGTCAGTGACCTTTCTGAGCAGCTGAGTTTTAGAAAAACACTGTTTTGCATTCAAAAAGCACAGAAGGCAGGCAGGGCCCACTATAACTGCCATGCTATACTACCCCAGCACCCCCACTGGTTTTCCTTACCATTTCTGCCACTGGCAATGCAAATGTTTTATTCAGTGTACTTAAATACACTGTTAGCAACAAAAATAAAAAGTTCATTCGTCAGATGAGAATAACTGTCGTTGTTTTACTTTGAAGAACAATTATTTGCTTAAATATTTTTTTAATTCCAATAATCCTTTGATTCTTTCATCAGACCTTAATGTATAATAATCAAGAGACTCTGCAATCGATGACATTTGATTTATGCATACACTTACTAGCAGTATTTTATGACTAACCCTGATGAACAACAGGGAAAATCCAGAAACTGGCAGTTTTGAAAAAGTTTTTTTGCAGATTGTGGTTGCTTCAGAAAAAGCTAAACACACAAGAGGGAAAACTTTCCCACTATGAAGTGGAAACATAGTCTGCATGCACTGTCATTCACATGTTCCTCCCATTAACTTACAAAAGGAACTGGCATGGATTCCACAATCATTTAAAAAACATTACCTCTTCTGCTCAAAGTTGAATGTCATCTTTTACGTTATTGTTTTCTTCTATACTCAGGACTGACAGCTAGGTTCAGACAGTCCAATGCCAATTTGAAGTAATCTAAAAAGATATAGTGAGTTTCTTCTTCACATTAACAAAAGGACATTATGTAAATATATGTTCACATTCTTTTCACTAAAAAGAAAATAATGTCCAGTGCAAGTCATCCTTGGCTTCCACTATGGAAAATACTAAATTGAAAGTGACAATCAATCTAGGCATGGAGACTCCAAACTTTCTCACTTTCCTGACATCCCTATGTAGATTTCTTCAAAAAATGATAACTGTGGTTTAGACTAATAGCTCATAATATTATCTTACTATGTAGTCAACAAGCAGCACAGCTCACAGAGCAGTCATAGCACAAAAGCACCCAATATTTTTCTGATAATTTTTAAAAGCTGCATATTATGGCTGGGATTTCAAACATCTGTATGGAAGCTGGGCACGGAGCCCCTCTGCACAATGCAGATTATAATTTTTTGTCATTTGATAGCATGACCTTTTTAGGCTTTGCAATGATACGCCAGTTAAAATCCCCAAACGTACGCCTTTGTCAGTTAGTCCTCCAGAGATTTATTCACATACTCAACTTTGTGTATTGACGTCAACAAGACTTTGAGCAGGAAGGAATGGATGACCTCTGAACATAGCTTCCACTCTTTTTTTTCACCGATTCACCATCTGAAAAGGTCATCATTGCCTGAAGTTCCTCAAAGCCTGATCCCACTTCATCTGAAGTCTGAGAGAGCAGTCGTGGTAACTGTAGCCCTGCAGAAGGAGGTTCCTGTTTGTGCTGTGCTGCTGACCCTTGTGTCTTGGGAAGTCTTGGTGAAAACATGCACTGAAAGGACTTTCTGAGCATTCAAAGTCCAGCTGCCTTTTCTGATTGCTTTTTTTGGAGTTCCTGAAGAGACACAGTATTTTTTTTGCCTTAGGGCAGGTTTCTTTTCCATAATGCAATGTTTTGTACTGTTCATTAGGTCATGTATTTTAAACATATATGCATCATGGAAATCCAATAAAAAGTATCAGAATGATTGTTCATATACAAAAACGCTAAGGATAAAAGGAGGTGGAGGCATGAGGGCAGTTTACAACCAGGACAGAAAACTCTGTGTCCCAAGTAAATACCCCGAATGCACTCTATAGCAACCAAAAATCCCTTGAAGTGGTTAATTGGAGACTTCCACAGAGTTTAACATGGCTGTCCCTTTTGCAATCAGGTACATTTTCTTCAAGTCGCCACAGAAACAGCACAAAATGGGTTGCTGATGAATCATTACTGTTATCGTTATAAAGATGCAAGTATTCCCCTGATGCTTTGGTAGTGTCTCCTGGGGAGCAGAGGATGAACTGGCTCTGCAGATGGCAAAGTCCTTGAGGGCAGGGCTGCCTTGTCACCCAAAGAAACTCCAGCTCAAAAATACTGCTATAATCACTTTTAATAACAAAGTATGGTAATTTTGGCTGTGGCCTGGCCTTCCTGTGTGCCCTTGCTCTCATGGCATCTACAGAGGATATGGTGCTTCTTGCTGGCAAGCCATGAAACAGCAGCAGTTCAACCGAATCCTCTCTAACCAGCAGAAGCAAACATTTCAAAAGCCCTTTCTCCAATATCAATTCATTTTCTTTTCCTTCCTTTTCCTCCTCTTCCAGGGGAGAAAGAAAGAATCCAAGAACAAGAGAAAGAAGAGCTGTGCATATTCTTACTCTACAGCACTGTCCTTGTAAGCCAAATTCAAGAATTCCTGGAAGATTGGGATCTTCACATGGGGTAATTTCCACAGGTTTCGGTGGTTTGTACCAGCAGAGATTCTTGCCTCTTATGGTACTTCTGGGCCAGGTCTTCATCTTCCTAATTCCAAGGTCCTATACAGGAAACTGGGAATAATAAATAATGTCCTAGGGAAAGCTCTAAAATTACACCAAAAGGTAAACAAAAGTTACATACTATCTTGAATTACCAGAAATATTTTGATTTCGTTCACGTGGAACAAGGTCAGAACTACCTGTTTACCTCAAAGGAAGGAACAAAATCACCTGTACCTCCCAGCAAATGCAACATATGGAGTTATTCAGCATTACTTCTTGGAAAACAGGCATTTCAGTTAACATTTACATTTCCAGTTGCTGAAACAATTAAACCAGCACAAGCTTTTCCTTTTAAAACTCTACATTGAGTTATTTCTTTTGAACAGACACAATATAAAATATACATGGTCTAGAAATGGTAATAACGCTTTATGGAAAACCTCTCAACGGTTAGCGTATTCTCTTGAAAATTGAGTAAACTGATGTTATGAAACATAGAAAGGTTTTCTCTGACATGGTTCATAATGTGAACACAGCTAGCACAATATACTTAAGTTGGCACAGCAAGAGGCATACAGCATTTATGGCATGTCCCTGCTGTAGCAGGTGTCCCATCAAAGAGTATGAGGAGAAAACAGGAAAATAGTTTAGAAAATGGGGTGGTAGAAGGACTCTTTAGAAAAAACAACATTCATAAATCCAGCATAACAAAGTATGGTCAGAAGGCCTCATGAAAGTAGCTCTAGGAGTCTGTAAATGTATGATGAACAGGTACTGCTTCCAAGGTGATTTCCAAGGTATCGAATTCAGTCCTTATTTCTGCCCACACAACCACCTTTACTGACTTTACACTGGCCTGTCTCAATTTTGCGCTGAGGACACAGTTTCTTGAAGAGGGTATTCCATAGCGCTTAGCCTCTCCTGGCAGCATTTTGGGTAGCTTTGAAAGCATTTGAATGTATCACTGCGCTTTTCACCGGGGAAAAAAGAACCCTCTTCCACAACTGGCAGAGAATTACAGCTGGATTCATTTTTGCCCTTAAATGTTCTCAGGCTGGTGTTCAAAGTTGATCTGTAGTTCTGTGGTGCCTTGACACAAAAACAACTCCTGGTGCATAACTGTTGAAGAATTGTGAAATCTTTGGCAATGGTGTTTCGGAAATTTGGCTTCAGGAGGAGACAGATAACTGGATTGTAGAATGTGGAAGACTTTGCAAAGACAGCTGGCACAGCAAAGGCTAATGGTGGAATCTTATCTATTGACCCAAAAGCTGCCCACATGGCAATGATGGCATAAGGGCTCCAAGCAGCAAAAAATCCAATGCACACAGCAACACTCAGCTTGCAGAGAAAAAGAGAAAACAGTGAGTTAAAAAATTGCATGAATGAGAAACATAAGCCACAAAGCAGTATATGCATTAAAATATCACCTGATTGACCTCACAGAATCACAGAACCACAGAATCGCTCGGTTGGAAAACACTTCTGAGATCGTCCAACTATTCCTGTCTACCCCCTAAACCATATCCTTAAGTACCTCATCTACCCGCTTTTTAAATACATCCAGGGATGGTGACTCCACCACCTTCCTGGGCAGCCTGTTCCAGCCTCTGACAACCCTCTCAGTAAAGAACTTCTTCCTTATCTCTAACCTGAACCTCCCCTGGCACAGCTTGGTGCCATTTCCCCTTGTTCTATCCTCCATCACCTGGGAGAAGAGACCAGCACCCACCTCTCTACAACCTCCCTTGAGGTAGTTGTAGGTGGTGATGAGGTCTCCCCTCAGCCTTCTCTTCTCCAGGCTAAACAACCCCAGTTCCCTCAGCCGCTCCTCATAAGGCTTGTTCTCCAGACCCCTCACCATCCTTGTGGCTCTTCTCTGAAGTCTCCCCAAGTCTTCCACGATGCCTCAACTGCTCTCTAAATGTATATTTTTCTAGAAACTTATTTCTGTCTGAAACTTACATCTATTTCAACCTGTCAGAGTTAAAATGCTCCTGCATTTCTCTTCCTCCTCACTAAAGTGCCACAAAAATTCTTTTTAGATCAAAAAGGAAGCCAACCTAAAGAAAAATATACCATTCTGTGGAAACACCTGTCTGGATTGCAAAGCCATTAATATCTTAGCATCTATTTTATGAGTAATAGTGGCTTTCCTGGCTACAGAATGTCTTCCATAATTTTACTGTTGGTGCTCAACTGGAGCCACACACAGGCACCTGATAGCAGAAAAACGGTATTAATCCTAAAGGTGAACCAAATTAATGAATTTAAGTTAACTCCTACTGCACAATTTTTGTCCTAATAAACTCTGTGAAGAAAGCTTTGGTAGGCCTTTAAAAAAAAACAACCAACCAAGCACAAAAAAAACCAACAGGTTTTTTGTGTAAATTATCACAGAGATTTGTAAAATGCAAGCATAAATATCAGATCTGCAATAAACATAAACCTCAAGAAATCTAAAGTAAATTGTAAGCATCAGCATGTACAGAAAGCCTAACCTGCTGGGCATCATTCTAAGCACTGTTTATAACTGAAGGACACATACTTTTTAAAGACAGAAATAAGAACATTCATGCTCTTGAAGAAGCTTCACAAGTCCATACTTGTCAAAAGTGTGTATTTCCAAATAAGGAAGACAGTAGAGAATCCATTCACTTTAGAGTTATATTGGACCCAAGGGACAGAAGAAAACACATAAGGAAAGTACTTTTTGTTGTCAGTCGCTAATTGTGCCACCTGTCTGAGCTGCCCTCTGCAAGTGGGAGTACAAAGCTGCTGACTAGCTCAATTAACAGCAAATTCACCATTTTTCTCAGTAAGAGTCTGGCTATAGATTCAAGGTTGCAAAAATCGTGGAGTTTTTGATTAAGAGAGATTACATTGTTGCGTTCAGAGTGAGAATAAAAGAGGCCCTAAGCACTAACACCAGGAGAAGACACGTTGAATTCTTTTAAGGCATAAAGAACACCTCCAAATGTTATTATTTTCTCCTTAAGTTTAATAGTCTCACAAATTTTATTTTGCAAGAAGAAATACACAGTGATTGCCAAGAAATATATACCATGAGTTTTATAAAGGAATGTCTGTGTCATTTAACTGTTTTTTTTTTTTCCTATTAGGCTAAAATCTGTCTTTGAATTTGTGCATGTCTCTAAGAAGCTATAATAATAGTGGCACAGGAGAAAATTCCCATTTATGGGTGATAACCATTTAGAGCTCTAACTTGTTAGAGCTCATATTAAGTCCATAGTTAAAGACATTTGAAAGAACTGAGGAACAAGGTATTTTGGCAGAATGAGACTAGTTAAGAAACAGTGAAGAGGCAAATCCACAAGATGGGGTGAACTTAATTTTTCTCTTTGTTTCCATAGCATTCTATTTCTTTACATCAGCTGAAGGTCTGGCTCTATCTATAGATATGTTGGTGCCATAAGCATATGTTCTGTAATCCTCAACTGTCCATGGCCAGTATTCAAGACTGAAACTAAAAGCAGTCTTTGTGGCAAGTAATATGCCTTGGCCCTTTAGAATCATATTAAGAAGAAATGGACATTAGAATCAATTGGTACATTTCCCAGATGGCTTATTTATGGTAGCATTTAATCTTTGGGATTATGATAGGTTTTACACTGTTCTTACGAAAAGGCATTTGGCACATATTTTCAAGGAGCTCTCAGCAACTTCCCAGACTGCATCAACACAGTTTCTAGAGCAAGGAGAGGATTAACCTTCCATAACCTGAGCTATCAAAAAACTTACCTGCAAAATCTAAGACAGTCTACGTTCCTTATAGTGTCAAAGGAAAGTGAGACATATCTCCTGAAAGTAATTGGTATCATTCCAAGACCTATGTCTAAAATAGATGTCGCAGATTACTCTCTGGTCTTTGTCACTGACAATTTTGAGGATGTACTTAAGACAGCTAACATTTAGTGGAACGCAATTACACAAAAGGAACTTCCTTTGAGATATTTAAGCATGTCAACTGTAGATATATGTACATGAATGTAGAAAGAGATCCTGTTATTATTTATATTTTCATGCCACATATTGAGAAGTCTGGAGTTTAATACAACAGAGCTTGAAAGGACTTAATACTGCTAAGATGCTTCAAGCTAGGTGCTTGATGAAGTACCTCCATCTTCTTAAGATGAACAAAATTACCAGTATGGTTCCAGAAAGACAGGTATAAGGAGTGGGCTGACCAGTGAGGCCAACACAAAATGGCAAAGAGCAAAAGAGGAGAATTTTAATGAGGTAGACATGGGGCAACTTCATGAACATTCACACGAAATTCACCAAAGGGCCAAGCCATATGACATATTTGTGGTTTTGTGAGCAAACAAGAAAACCAGCAGAACTACATAAGGACAACAAATGGGGGAACAGTGTAGAGGCAGACTATGCCTTCAAAGGCATGTCCTTTAGTACACATTCTTGAAAACATGGAGTATTTGTATAACCATATGTTAGCTACCTCTGAAATACTACACATGCAAGTTGCAGTGGTCAGTTTTCCTAAAATGATCAGAAAAAGACTATTGAATGTGCACAGTTCCAGTGAAAATAGAGGGACAATGAAGCATAATGAGTCAGCCATAATAAGATATTTCAATTACCTGAATATAAACTGGTCAAAGATAATAATAGAAAAATTTTGAAAGCAAAATAATCTTTTCCACAAGCTCTGTCACTGTAAGGGACTTGTGAGTGAGCATTCCTTTCTTCTTGCTGGTTCATATTTCAACCTTTCCAATGAATTCCAAAAAACTGTTATTTCAGTGCACAATACCGTGGGCAAAGGTCACCCAAAAATGTAAGTTGCAGGACAGAAACAAAGCGACATTGGTTCTGTAATTCAAGCCTCGATAACCAACTAAAATTTTGTGAATATGTCGGGAAAATAAACCCACTTTACTTCTGCCTCAGGTAGGTTATTTCCAATTATGAATTCATTTTGCCCCAGAAACTACTGTTCAGAATAACTGATCTGTACATTTGTTCTTTTATTTCATTTCATTAACTCACAAAGGCCATACATCAACTATGTACACCAAGGAGAACTGTTCGTAAGTGAAAATGACTTTCACATTATGAGATGGGTCAACTACCCCATTTTATTATATCACTGTGTGAATGATTCAATTATCTTTATGCTATACTTGATGGACAGATGTCATTTCTGGCCTTGGTTTTCCTCCTGTGAAGGTGACAGCACCTGAGGCAGCAGTCACCTGTGCATCACTACACAATGAGATCCAGGGAGGTCAACAGGAATGCTGGACTACAGATGAGCCTGTTCATAATTTCACTCTAGACCTGAGCCCAGCATCTCCCATTAAAGTGAAGAAGAGACATATGTCATGATGTGACTTAGAAAAAATATGTCCAGACCTTATATAAAGGCCTAAAAACTTCAGTTGTTATGGAAACTATTCCAAAAGCCACTAAGTAACTCATTACAGTTTGTAACAAGTATAATCAAAGGTTTACAATCTAAAATCACTTAGTGTTAATAGGAAGATTATTTTAATGAACTATAATGGACACTCTGTAATGTCTTTATTTTATCATGGAAACAAAGAGAAAAACAGCTTCAGATGTATGAATCATCTTTTCATAACTGCACATATGCATGGAAATTTCTAACAATTTTTCTTATCAAAATGACCATATAGTTTCCCATTACTGATCTGTAGTAGTACAAATAAAAGGCAATGCCCTCTTCCCACAGCTCGCAAGCCAGATTTTTATTTTAATTATTTGTGTTTCCACTCAGAGACATCAGTGACCAGGAGAATCTCTACGATCTTGTCTGTTATACAGGGACATAAGAAAAATACTATCACAGGATACATAGGGTGCCCTATACACCCAATACCCATTCTGACTGGCATGTTTGACACAACTTACATAGTTCCTCAACTACAGAATCACAGAATCACAGAACGTTA